ATTCTCGAACAGAAGGTACATAATAAGGCAGCATAATTGATAAAAGAAATATTGTATTAACCCTCTAAAAGCCCTAACAATGGGTGTAATGCAAAGGCGTTTCCAAGGCTTTTGGCGAAACGTCGACGAATACAGGAGAGAAAGAGACGGGGAGAATGCATTTTATTATCGAATAAAGAAGGCAGCGACTATTTTAACTTTCGCCGTCAAAATATCTCGAAACTATCTTGACATCTGTGACGCTACTTCCGTGAAACGTAAAAATAGTGGCTTTATTAGAGAGTCTTCGTAGACCGCGTTTCCCTCTCCGCTAAGCCCTCCGCAACGAAGAAGCCGCTACTGCGCCTGCGCGCCGATAGCCTTGACTGCAGTGTTCCGGGTATCGTAGCGGGTTGTGGACAGCATTGCGGGACGGCAAGAACAATCTACGAAAACTCCCTATTATTTCGACGTCCCCCGTCAACGTAGCCCTGTCGCCCGGCAGCCGTCACCAGGGTTGCCAGGTTGGGCTATAAATAGCCAAATTGGGCTAGTTTCATTTGCAGTTGGCGGGAAAAAGTGGCAGTTGGCTATTTGGCTAGTATTGGGCTATTTCTGACCCGTGCTGGGCACACCAGATGCCTCAAAGCACTTGAGTTTATAGGTTCGAACAGTGTATTTTTATAGTAAGTTACGTAAACATTTGGCACTTCAGTCTCTTAACTCCGAAAAGTATGCGACAGCAAGCAAATTCGTCTGCTCTTTGCTCACCATTCTTTACCCCCGAATCTTGTCCAAATGCAAGCGCGTGCTGTTATTCCTCCATCTCAACCGAATCCCGGACAAAAGCTCACCGGACAAAAGCTCACCGGACAGAAGCTCACCGGACAAAAGCTCACCCATTTTTTCACAGACCCGGACAAAAGCTCACCCATATTTTCACAGACCCGGACAAAAGCTCACCACGAGAAAATTTCATGTTGGTCTTAACACGAGTGCGGACAACTTAGGTGCATGCGTGCGACACAAAAAGGCAACGTAGAAACAAGTTTATTTATCGATTGGTTAGAAGCGAATGCAGTGCCCCACTAGCTCCAGCAGTCTTGGTAGATCTCGATGTACATGCAAGCCCTCACAAATATTTCTAAGACGATTCTGCAGGTGCAGAGTGATTTTTCGCACCCGCTTTACGGTGGGCTCACATCTCCGGGCTTTTGTCAATGCCATGGAAACGAGCGCCTGATTTTGCTGTAGGCATTCAATGAGCCTCAAGACGCTTGGATGGGCGTGGCCGACGGGCATCTGGAACCCGGTACTCTATCTTTCGCAGGTGTTGCTCATCCGGTCTTTATCTTGAAGAGTGGTGTCGTACATATTCCTCTGTACCGGGGGAAACTCCGGTCGCCGTCGGCGCAGAGTCAGGCGAAGGGAAGAATTCGCTCTGGGTGCCGCCGCAGATGGAACAGAAGCATAACGGAAGCGGCCGTTGAAATACGTGCAATCAAAATAGTCCAGTAGGTAGCGATGTCACCGGTACACTTTTCCCTGGTGGTCAGTACTTGTGGAACAGGCTGTGGTGGAAGAAACCCGGGCCTATCTAAAATCCCGCACAATTTTTTTTTTAAATTGGTCATCTGTCTTGTACTTTTTCAAAAGGCCGAACTCCCGTTCTTTCAAAGTATTTTAAAAAAAATTCTCAACTCAATGGTGGATGAGGTACAAGTTCTCCTAAAAATGGTCCAATGTCCATTGCGTCCGCACTTTATTTCAACCCGTGTTTCGCCCGGATAGTAAAAAAAAAAGAAATCGAGGTGAGCTTTTGTCCGGGTCTGTCAAAAAACGGGTGAGCTTTTGTCCGGGCCTGTCAAAAAACGGGTGAGCTTTTGTCCGGTGAGCTTTTGTCCGCTGAGCTTCTGTCCGGTGAGCTTTTGTCCGGTGAGCTTTTGTCCGGTTACCATCTCAACCAGGGACGGCGCCATTCCTGGCGGGCCCAACAGTACCACCTGTTCTGCACATTATTTCGGTTGTCTTGATTGGCGTGCCCGTACACTTTTAAATCTGTATAGTTTTCTCGTGACATTGCTCTGGTCACCATGCCCCGATACTAAGCATCCCATTAATACAGTGGAAGGTATGTCGTTTAGGTTACCATTGTCCAACGCTGCAGTAGAACGCGTGTTCAGCCAGGTCACCCTCACAAAGACGGACCTGAGAAACAGGATGTTGATGGAAACGCTGTAGAACATTTTGTCTGTTAAATTCCGAGTGTGGGGCAAAGAGCAGTGCTACAAGGACAATGTTCCTTAATGGTTTTAATACCGCAGTGATGTACCCGTACTCTGCCGTTGGTTCTGCGAGCTGGTGGTGTGAATATTTCTATCTGATGTATAAAAATGCACTACGTGTCTTTTGTTCTTAAAATAAACGTTCCGAATGGTCAGTTTTTCTTTTGGCTATTTTTGGGCTACTTTTCTGGATCGCCATTTGGCTATTTTTGGGCTATATCTCGTAGAAATTTGGCGGGTCAGAGTACAAACACCTGGCAACCCTGGCCGTCACAATCATGGTTGTGGCCATGGAGGTAGGAAGCTCCTGGAGGCGCAGATTTCTTCTGCGGCTGCCATTGCGTAGAGAAAAGACGCATTGTGTGTATTATATGTCATAAATGTCAAGGAATATTTCTAAGTTCTATTTATTGAAAGTAGAAAAATTGTTACATCACCCCTGTAACTAAAGGACGAAAATTTCTTGCGGCCAATATTTTGATTCTACTCGGTGTGAAATATATTGTGCTACGTTGTAAAGTTTAGGGTAGCATTCGCAGTGCTCAAACTCCGTCAAAACAGATGACGCCGAATGGCGTGTCATCTGTCTCGACACCGCTCTTGGTGACAAAAAAAAAAGAAAAAAAAAATGCCAGCCTTATCACAATGTGCGCGCCCGCCGATACAGACGTTTGAACAATTTATTTTCAGACCTATTCTCGACGTCAACTATTTCGTGTAAGTCACCACGGCTAGCGTTGCTTCCGCAGTACTTTGTCCGGTAAGCAAAACTCGGGATTTTAACAATTAATTAATCCTCAATCCCGTTTGAGAAACGTAATTAAAATCAGGTGCATAAATGGCTTTATTTTCGCAGGTTCAATATGTTTCGCCTTTCGGAAAGTGCCAGTTTCAAAATTATGTGGACGGGGCAAGATCTCACGGTCGAAAGTTGTATGTTATGTATTCGCTACCACGAAATAATATGGTGAATTCCCAAATTTAGTTTTCTTTGAAAATGAGGGTGTTTACAATATTTAATTTCAATTTTCTTTAACTTTCTATATATAGAGAAATAGAAGGAGAGAGAGCGTGGTGTTCCGTTTAAATAATTTATGCGTTATATCACGTTCAACGTAAGGTTTTCTTTGAAGAAGCGCTCGTCTTTGTATGAAGGTAGTTTTCAATGCCTAACTTTAAACAATAGCCTAACTTTTTAAGTGAGAAAAAAAAAACATTTAAGAAAATTATTGATTATATGTAGGGCTCCGTGTTTTCGGATAAATCCGAAAAACTCCGAAAAACACCCGCCGGGAAAATTTTCGTCAATTCGGATTTATCCGATAAACTCCGAATCTTTATGTGCCAATGCACCCCCCCCCCCCCCCCCCCCCCGAAGCAAAGAAAAAAAGCAATTGTTTTCTTAATTTTTTTTAGCACGGAGGCAATGGTCCTGGGCAAAATGGCACCGTAATTATCTTTCAAATCTCAGACCGTTGTCAAAAGGGGTCTTGCCGCTTGTCTCGTCGAGGTTGATTCAGGGCAACAGGTCAGTGTACATTCGGGTCACGACAAAGGCCACTCTTTTGGTTTCCAGTTTGAGCCATCCGATTTGTGATTGAAAGAAAGGAGAAGTTATGTTTTGTAACAGTGAAAGCTAGGGACCATAGAGATTGTATTAAATAGAGAAAGGAGACAGTTGAAGCCGCGGGATAGATTGATGGGATGACTACGAGGTTCCTTGCGACTACCTCTGGCGGTTTATTGATTTTAAGGTATCGACGTTTATCGAAGCCACACTTGTGTGCGACTTTTGTCGTGGGGCAAATTAATAATGCCAGTGGCAATGGCACGAACGTCAAATTCAACTGAAGAATTTTTAATCGATACAAGCGCCTTTTTTTATTATTTGGCATACGTTTACATCCGGTTATTATTTGCATATTTATTTTCAATAGGAAAGACTGTGAAATTAAACTCCGAATTTCGGAGAATTGGCAATCAGTCAAATGTAAACTCCGATAAACTCCGAATCTTCGGCAAAAAATAAACTCCGAAAAACACCCTCCGATTTTGACGAAAAATAAACCTCGAAAACACGGAGCCCCATTATATGTCAAAACGAATAAACGCTAAGCAGTCTCAGGATATAAATACTTTTTAGCAACGCCCGTTTTTGTTAATTAAAAAATAGAAAAAAACTAATAGCTTTGCATACTTTGCTAAAACTAAAACTGAACGCCTTCAACTACAGTGCTTCAACTACCGCACAATAGCGCATCTTAGGATAAGACAAAAATAAAAAGTAGATAAAAAGAAAGGGCAACGTAAACACGTCTTCGCTTCTCCTGTGTTTAGCCATTTCTAGCGCAGTGATTGTAAAGTAAACGATCACTGAAACAATTTTTTTACCCTAGTTATTCACTACACGAAAGTCAAGTGGGTGCAAGACTGCATTATCTTTTAAGGGCACGAACCTCGACAGTCAATAGGTTTGTAGATGCCAATCTTAAGTTCAAAGCGAGTGTTCTCTTCTCCTTTCACTACACCGGAAACCTATTGTTCGCATTCTCCAAGTTTCCGAATAACCTTGAAACGAAAGTGCCCAACGATCCGGTGACCTCGTTTCGTTTTGAACCCGGACTCTGACGTGTGCAAACCGCGCAAAGAAGCCAGCACAGCAACCGCATTCGTCCATTGTCCGGTCTGCCTATAAAAGAGCAAGACTCCTAGCCACAACCAGATCAACGCATTCCAGCCAGCCGGTCACCATGAGGTCCGTCACTCTTTACGCCTTCGCCTTCGTCCTGCTGAACGTCATTCTGCCCTGCCACGAGGCCGGTGCCTTCTTCCTGACCAGCCTGGCCTTGCTGCCCCTCACGTCCATCATCGGTCTCGGTGGCCTCGCCGGACTCAAGCTCGCCATCGCCATGAAGCTCCTCGGACACCTTGGCTGGTGGAACGTGAGTCGCTACGGCGTCGGTCTTCGGACGTCCATCGAGAACGACAAGCTGCCCGAGCCCCTGGGTCCGATGCCGCCGAAGCCGCAAGGCCTCTTCCACGGACGGACTATCAAGATCCCCATCGCCCTTCTGCCTTACTTCTTCGGCGGCCATTTCAAGAGCCCAGGGTCCTTCACGCTTCCGGCCAATGACTTCTCGTTGTTGGCAAGGCAGTCTTTTCACCTGGACGGTCACAAGCTGAAGCTATCGTCCCAGGGAGACGCTGGAGTCAACGGAGTGAAGGGATCCTTCGTTCAAGCGCACGGCAATATGCAAAGCCCGCTGGTAAACATCGATGCGAGAAAAAAGGCAACTCTCAAGGTAAGCGTTTTTTTACGTTTCGGGCTTTTTGCAGGGAGACATTTGGTATAAGCTTGGAACAAGCCCCATATTTATACCTTGCAGTTTGCCTAAACCGAGAAATGAAATTCTTCGCAGGGAATACTCTTTTGTTTTGTTTTCGTATTGCTGATTATTGTTTACTATGTGTTTGTGACATGTGGGGTGGGAAAACGTTTTGTGTTGAGCAATACGATACAGTTCATATACCTATGCATCGGTACATTGTTCCGAAGAATGGGCGCTCTGGCGAATCCTATTATGATCCATCTTGCGGCGCCGCAACGTGTTCTTAGAAAACTGGTGTTTTTCTTTTTTTTTTTTTTTCTTTCTAATGGTGGGATAAAGATAGCTGAGTGTCGTTTTATTTTTGGAATGAGTGCCGGTTTACTCCTCCTAAAACTTTCATGACCTTCTAGGGCAAGCGCAGTGCCGACTCTACCTTCAAAGTCATAGACGATGCGTTTTCCATGGTTCGTGAGATGGACGTCGACCGATGCATCCTCCGCTTGTCCTGCGAAGTGAGCGCCGACCCCCAGGGATACGGAAAGTACGGGCGGCGCGTGGCTTCGTTCGCAGACTCCATGGGACCGGTGGGCAACAAGTCTGCTTTCGCCGAGTTCCAGACGGCGTACAGACAGGGAAAAGCCTACGGAATCGCCGGTTGCAGCAGGGCTTACTCCACGTGCAAGCATGACCTGCGTGGTCTGGCCTCTCTCATCGGTGAAGCTTAGCGGCTGTGTAATAGTATCTTCATGTTCTTGCTGTAGACGAGGCATCCCGGTTTCATTGTATATAGTCATTTCACCTGAAATAAAAGTTAGCAATTGTAACCTTGCCTCCTTCGTCTTCGAAGCCGTACTCGGGATGCGGTAGTGGCTGAAAATTGGAGAGTGGGGGGGGACCTTTGGGGGTCCTCCCTCATCCAATATCTGGGAAATTTTCCACAATCTTCTAAACTCGTCCTTGTGACTTCCTTCCTCCATTGTTACCCCTTCATCTTGGGTTGCCAAAGGCATGGTAGCGCCATGCGTTTGGCAACCCAAGACCAATACCAGCCCAGCATTCAGCTTTGATTACCTTCAGGAGGGCACGGTGGAGCTGCGTGCACTTCAAGACCAAAAAAACACGAAAAGGCACGGTCTCAAACATAGTATTCTGACTTCTAGCGTAGATATGCACCTCTGCGCTACGGCAGAGGTGGATATCTAACTCTCCCGTTCTCTCCTCAAACAGCAAAAACATTCAAGGTGAATTACCGAACATTTCATTTTATGTCCTGCCTTTGTGAACTGTAAATTGTTAAGGATAATTTTTCTTCGCCTAGACCTACATTTCGCGACTCCATCAATAACTGAAGATATAAAAATAATCACAACTTTATGTTTTTTACGAGTTTTTATGAGCAAAAAAGTGACTCCTCATTCGATTTTTTTCGCCCTGTAGCGCCGTGAACGTTGGCGATCGCAGCCGTGTAATCAGCCGTTTCCGCCTAAAACTTCGCACTGTGCCCCTCACAAATTCGCGGCTAAATTGAGCGTACGGTTTTCTCATGAAGTGTTCCCGAAGTGCTCGTCACTCTAGCGATGGACGTTCATTCGAAGTTTGTTGGTTCTGGAGCAGACGACTAGCTGACGACAGCCGTGTTGAAAATCATCGTCTACAGAAGAAGAGAAAAAGGAGATATACGACGAAAAAGAAGGCACGATGACAGCTACGGCGCTCCAAAAGCAAACGGAACCATCATGTAAATATTGTATATAAATTCTTTCTTGTTCAACTAACTCGACGCAGTTGTTCCCCTAATGTAACGCAAAATCATGGTGCCGAAACCCGGGAATAGCTGAGCCAAGGTCAAACAAGAAAAGACTTCGAACATCCATCGTAAGGCCTAACGATCGTCTAAGGTACTTATCGCGTCGGAAATAGATCCTCTAACGCCAGCAGCCATCGATCAACTCAAAAGAAGAAGAGCAGTGGTTCGGTCATCGGCTACCAGAATTGTAACCGAAACCGTCGCTCTTCTATCCATGGAACCAAAGCCCATCGGTGAGATGGAGGAAAAACTTAACATCTTAACAAACAAAGAAGCTGCACTGAAGGAAATTAATGACCAGATTGAGAGAGCCATCACTGACAACACGCTCGAACAGGAGATGGAAACCGCTGAAGGCTACACCGAAAGAATTAGCGCAACGAAAACAAAGATCCTTCAGAGTCTCAGAGAGCAAGAGCGAATGATCAACAGAACGTCGGAGACCTCGGCACAAGTTGGTAGATCGGAACAACAGCTCTGTGCAAGTCAGACACACGCAACAGCGAATCGAAATTAGAAATCGCCAAATTTTCCGGAGATATTCGGTCATGGCAGGGCGTCTGGGACCATTTTGACGCTACGATCCACAAAAATGTGTCTCTCTCGGCAATTGACAAGTTTAAATACTTGAAGAGCTACCTTACAAGCAAAGCTGCTGCGGCAATGGACGGTTTTACACTAACATCTGAAAATTACGCAGTTGCACTGGACATTCTGAAAGCAAGATTCGGGAAAAAAGAACTCATCATAGAAGAACACCTTGCACGGTTGCTGGCTGTAAGAACAATAAGCAACTCTCAGGACGTCGAGAAGCTCAGGTTATTATACGACGAAGTTGAGTCTGGAGTTCGTAGTCTTGAGGCACTTGGTGTATGTTCAACCACATACGGAACAATCCTCCTAACGGTTCTGCGAAAAGCCGTGCCATCAGATCTCGAACTGGAATATCATCGAAAGACAACAGCAGTATCAACAAACGAAGGCAACGATCTAAAACGATTCTTGGACTTCCTGAAAAGGGGAATTGAAAGCCGAGAGCGGACTCAGCATAGAAATCAAAGAAAACCAACTTCCAATTTGGATAGAGCTACTCCTGGGGGAAGAGACCGACAGACACAATACCCGCCTTCGGCAGCTATGTTTGCGACAGGAACTCAGAAAGAAGAGAAACAATGCTTGTTCTGTGGATCCTATGACCACCTAGCTGCCAACTGTTCTATACCAATGCCATTGGAAGAGAAAAAAGAAATGCTGAAAAGGAACAATCGATGCTTCCGATGCACGAAGCAAAACCACCGTGCAAGGGATTGCAGAAGCGCAAGGTGGCTAAAGTGCGCACAATGTTCTAAAAGGCATGCCACGGCAATGTGCGATCCAAGCTACAACGCGCTCGGAAACAAAGGTCCGCACGAAAATTCTAGTACAAGTAAGGAGGAAGCCCCTAACGAAAGAGTGCTGCAGTCCTCTCTAAAGGCAACGAATAGCAAAAACAGAGGGCCGTGCCAAGTCCTTCTACAAACGGCAAAAGCATGGGCAGAAGGTGAACAAAACCGTGTACTTGTCCGGCTTCTCATTGATGGCGGAAGCCAACGCACCTTTGTGAGACGAGACATCTCAGAGAAACTTCACCTGAACGTTTTAGGAGAAGAGGACCTAACGATCTTCACCTTTGGAGAAGGCGCTGCAACAGCTTCAAGAAAGTGTCGAGGAGTAGAGCTATGGCTGCGCAACCAATACAACAGAAAGGACGTACGAATTGAAGCCCTAGAAGTCCCACAGATATGTGCTGACATCATTCACACACCACCAGACGTCACGCTGGGCATACCAGAAGACATGCTGCTTGCTGATACGTCTCTCAACAACGACGAATGTGAAAACGGAATCAGCCTACTAATCGGAGCCGACCACTATTGGGACGTGGTAAGTGGAAGCGTGAGACGCCTGAAAACAGGATTGATGGCCGTCGACACCATCCTCGGTTGGACTCTACAAGGGCCCATGTCCACAAGATCATCTACTGCTATCTACTCATCAATTACTGGAGTGATGAAGGTTACGACAGCTGACGCAACTGAGATATCAACACAATTGCGATCGTTCTGGGAACTGGAGCATATCGGAATTAAGGAAAAAGAAACGTCAACCAACGAAATAGCTCAATTTGAAGACTTTAAAAAGAGCGTAAAATATGAAGACGGACGATACCAAGTTTTCCTCCCATGGAATGATAAAGTTGATATGCTCAAAGACAACAAAGAGAATGCAGAACGCAGGCTCCGATCACTGACTGGACGCCTCATGAAAAACAAAGCGCTCATGAGAGACTACGACACAGCAATACGGGAATATTTTGGCAATGGGTTTGCAGAAAAGGTTCAAAGTAATGAAAAAAGCGGAAATCCTGTGTATTACATGCCACACCAAGCGGTTGAGCGACAGGAACGACTGACAACAAAATTGCGGGTGGTATTCGACGCGTCCTCCAGCGCTGCAGGGGAACTTTCACTGAATGACACCTTATCCAGTGGAACGAACTTAAATCCTGAATTAATAGACCTGCTGATCGAGTTTCGTACTCACAACGTCGTCATAATAGCAGACATCGAGAAGGCTTTTTTACAGGTGATGTTGGCGGAGCAAGACAGAGATGCCTTACGTTTTTTATGGTACGAAACTAGTCCACAGCAAGGACATCACCTTCCGCCTATAACAACATGGAGAATGACCAGAGTTCCATTTGGGGCAACATCAAGTCCGTTTCTCGTGGCAGCAACGTTGAGACACCATTTCGACTTGATGAACGAAGAATTTCCCGATACCTCGAATACTCTCAAACAGCACATGTATGTTGACGACCTGGTAACTGGCGCCGATGATTTGGAAGGAGCCCAGGTACTGTGCAGAGAAGCAACAAAGATACCAAAAAAGGCGGGAATGCATCTTAGAAAGTGGAAATCAAATGAACCAAGGTTGTTATCGAAATTAAAGGAAGAAGGATCCGGCCAAGTACCACTAACCGAACAAATTGGCCGAACAGAGGTTCTAGGCATTGGTTGGGAAGCACAAGCAGACATCATCAATTTCGACATAGAACCTCTAATTGACTTTCTGTGCTCACGTGAAGACAGCAAACGCTTCGTACTTCAAGCAACAGCTCGCATATTTGACCCTATGGGTTTTCTTGCTCCCACCGTGACAACCATAAAAATGCTATTTCAACGACTTTGGGAGCGAGGAGTTGAGTGGGATGAGGTGTTACCTTCAGACTTATACGAAGAATGGGACAAGTGGTGTACAGACCTCACTGCCTTGAAGGACGTCGCTGTTCCAAGACTCATCGTTCGCGACTTCAACAAAGACAAAACAGAAAAGGCATTGCATGTCTTCTGCGATGCTAGCACAAAAGCGTACAGAGCTGTAGCGTACGTGGCATCGAAAGAGGAAGAGGGAATAAAGTGTGTGACCATTGTAATGGCGAAATCGAGAGTGGCACCCCTCAAGCGGTTGACCCTTCCGCGACTAGAGCTTATGGGAGCATTAATTGGCGCTCGTTTGGCGCATTCTCTAACAAAGAAGTTGAAGATGGAAGGACTCCCAGTGTATCTGTGGACTGACTCCATGATCGTCTTTTATTGGATTCGTAGTTCTGCAAACCGGTGGAAGCAGTTTATTGCAAATCGCGTCTCAGAGATCCAAGGTCTGACGGAACCAATCAACTGGAGACATTGTCCTGGTTCAGAAAACCCAGCAGATCTTTTAACGCGTGGACTCATGCCAAGTGCTCTGGTTGAGAACAACATGCGGTGGAATGGACCCATCTGGCTTCAATGCTCGGAATCATCCTTGCCAAGCCAAGTTGAGGAAAGACCAGTATGCGAAGAATACAAGGCTGAAGAAAAGAAAGATACTGTTGTTCAACTCACAATACCCGACGAAATTCATCTGATGAACTTGGAGAACTACAGTTCATTTAATAAGTTGGTTCGAGTGACGGCCTGGATTAAACGCTTCGTAAACAACATAAAACAACAAGGACAACGCAGGGGAGCGCCAACAAGCAATGAAATCATAGACGCAGAAAAATACTGGATAGCGGCTACACAAATGCAGGCTTTCCCGAAAGAAATCGTACACCTGAAAGATTAGCAGCAAGTTGACAAAAATTCAAAAATCAAGTCGTTCAACCCAATTATTGACAGTGATAATATTGTGAGAGTTGGTGGTCGTTTACAATTTAGTAACAACGAGGAAAGCGTAAAACACCCAATAATTGTACCTGCAAATCACCGGTTCACTACCCTTCTCATTGAGAAAGAACATCGTCGACTGCTACACGCCGGAGTTCAAGACACTTTGACGCAGCTACGGGAAACTTACTGGATTATAAAGGCAAGACAAGTCATACAGAAAGTAATACGTTGCTGTTTAACTTGCCAAAGACAAAGCTGTGCACCTGCCTCAGAGCCGGTAGCTCCACTACCAGCCGACAGAGTTTCAAGATGCGAACCATTCGAAACTACTGGTGTGGATTTCGCGGGACCTTTGATATGTCGACATCACTACGGAAGTAGCTAGGTTTACATTGCACTTTTCACTTGTGCCGTAACACGTGCCGTGCACCTCGAACTTGTGAGCGACCTATCGACAACATCATTTTTGTTGGCGTTCAAGCGCTTCGTTGCACGCCGAGGCATCGCAAAAACGATTTATTCAGATAACGCCTCAACGTTCAAACGAGCCGCTAAAGACATCAGACAAATGTTTGAAGCAATACAAGGAGAGGAAGCGCAGACCTACTTTGCAAATCACAGGATTAGGTGGAAAACAATTGTAGAAAAAGCCGCATGGTGGGGTGGTTTTTGGGAGAGACTAGTGAGGTCGGTCTCACTACGCAAGGTTCTGGGCCGTAGTAGTCTGAATTTCGAAGAACTGGCCACGGTCCTCACTGAGGTAGAAGCTGTAGTCAACTCCCGTCCAGTGACGTACATTTATAACAACCCTAAAGAACCAGAGGCTCTATCTCCAGCAGACTTTTTATTGGGACGTAAACTGAACACCCTTCCCCCACATCACTTACCAGCAAAAGATGAAGCAAGTTCTGGACACTCAGCGCGACGTTGGAAATATCGATGCACTATCATAGAGCAATTTTGGAGAAGATGGAGATCTGAATATTTGCTAGAACTGAGGTCAGCTCACATCACCAAACCCAACAGTTCAAGTGGTTTACAAACCGATGACATCGTCCTTCTCAAAGACGACCGACTCCCACGGCAGATGTGGAAAATCTGCAGAGTTAAAGAGACTTTCCCAGGAAAGGACGGCAAGGTTCGAGCATGCAGGATTGTGCTGCCCAGTGGGGGAGAGCTCCGCCGTCCGATACAGTTATTATACCCGCTGGAATTGCAAGAATGAGCATCCGCTCATTTCGGGGGGAGTTTGTTGAAAATTATCGTCTATAGAAGAAGAGAAAAAGGAGATATACGACGAAAAAGAAGGCACGATGACAGCTACGGCGCTCCAAAAGCAAACGGAACCATCATGTAAATATTGTATATAAACTATTTCTTGTTCAACTAACTCGACACAGTTGTTCCCCTAATGTAACGCAAAAAGCCGGTTCTTTCGTGCCTCGCATTTGGCGTAATGACACAAATGCTCCGATGACGTCGGGTCACGTGCCTCCCTCCGTCGCTCTTATAAGGTGGCGGGGCCCTAGCCTCCACGGTTCGCCAAGTGATCGTGAAACGGTCTACGTGCAAGCATTTAAATGTCAGCTTTGGGGATCGGTTTGCCCATTTTGTTTTTTAAACTTTTCATGTATAAATACTTTATTACAGGATGATACCCACCGAGTATCATTCATTTCAGTTCATCTCACTTTCCCCTGCCGGCAATGTTGCCGTTTGATTGCTGATGAAAGCAGCCAAAACATAATTAAAAATAAGCTTTTCTTTTTTTTTTTTGCGCCAAATTTGTCGTTTTTGAATTTCTAAAACAAACAAATGGTAAAAAAAACGTTAAAAAGGGAGGGGGGGAGGCTTTGACACTTTTCGTCAACATGAATCAATTCCGCACCAAGAGTAACTATGGTTACTTTTTCGAGTAGCTCGATGGGCTCGTCCGTAGCCTCCTTTATACTAGAAAGCCTGTCAGACCCCAAAGAAAAGCGGTAGCGTAAAAAAGGAGACGAGGGGCGGAGAAAGAGGATGCTCAAAGCGTCCTGGAGGGGATTTTTTGGTGGCGCCACCACAACGCGAGCGGTCAGATCCAACAACACTCCTGTTATTTCTATTTATTTATTTATTTATTTATTTATTTTTTTAGAGAGGAAAATAGAAAGTCGGGCCACACCCTGCTTTTCTTCCTCCATGCAACGGTCACCGCATCGTTTCCGCGCTGTGCCGCGTCTGGGAGAAGAGAAAAAAGGAAAAAGAAAAACAAATACGTTTTGGGTAGAAACTGCTAGGTCTGCTGGTGCTGATGAGAGTTCGCCCCCTGCGCTTCCATTGCGTTCGCGTTCTGCCGCTTCTTCTCGCTCTTTTCCGGTGGCCAGGCGCTCTATTGTTCCCTCGTCAATTTGACGGGCCAAAAAACACTCCTAGGCCGCCGCCATGTTGCTGATGCTGATGCGGCTGGTGCGACTCTAGCGCCCTCTATCAGCTAGAAAATGTCTGCCACTCTCTTGGACTGTGAAAAACCGCTCAGCGCGTTTCTCTACTTACATTTTGCGGTTGTCCATTCGACGTTGTCTTGCCCCTCTTGAAAGTTTCCACTTAATTTTTCTGATGCATGCTGCGTACCCACTTCTGTGTTAATAATTATCCCTTGAACTGTAAGAAATAGGGCTAGTAAGTTCCTGCCATTCAAGCGCTTCTGCTCGACGTTAGGGAGTTTTTGTAGATCGTTTCCGCTGCCCCGCAACGTTCTCTGCAACACGCTACGAGAACCGGGACTCTGCTGGCGAAGCTACTTCACGCATGTGCAGTAGTGTCGTCTTTGTTCCGGAGGGCCCAGTGGAGCTGGGAAAATAGTCTACGAAAACTCCCTATTCACGGGAAACGAAAGAGGGGAGGGACGTCGAACGGCCCTCGACACGATTTTGCAAACAATGACAACGGTTCTCCCCCTCCTACAGATAATCCGCGTAGAATCCTTCTAATAGCCAAAAATAGTTGTTCGGATTGTAGTCAGTCACGCCTGTTCCTTTGCCTTGGTGCTGGTGTGAAAAAAGTAAGCACTCCCCAAAACGTGGCCCGAAACAAAGTATCTTATTAGATTCCGTCCGACCGTCCACACGATGCAGTTAACGCTGCATCGTGTGGTACGTACAGTCTATTGTTCGAATGTTAACGCTTGCTAAATTGTATATCCGTGTCCTCTCCATCAGTAAACACGTTATTTGTGAGCGTGAAAATGCATGCCTTTGGGCTATCTTCTGTAGTTAATTATTGTCGACAGCGAAGCGCTTTGTCGTTTGACACGCGGCTAATCGGACGGAGCCGTCAAAACGTATCGCAAAACAAAAACTACAACTAACATTCCTGTCGCATTCGTTCTGTCGCGCGCGTACCCAACAAAAAGTTTGCTTTTTTTCTTTCTCTTGTATATTTTTTAATGTGGAACAATGCGTTTTTAATCTTCTCGGGAAAATACGTACACCATGAAACACAAAATGCAGCGGAAAAAGACGAGGATTTGACAACCAGCAGTGTTTGAAACTGCGCCTACGCAGGCTGCCCCTATCGAAATCACAGTCCACTCGGTTAGGGTTCGCAGGGACGCCAAAGAGGGTCTAGCCTCAATCCTAGTGACTGGCCTCGAAAATGATTTGTTGCCCCTGGGGTCGAGTGTTTCTTCGAAAGGTGTATCAACGAGGTAGAAGGGCTTAGAGTGATAAACCGGAAGTTCGAAAGTGGCATCCCCCCGGTTGCCGCCACGTTTTACGCAAAAGTGACTACTCGTCACGTGACCTCACAAGTGCCATGACGTCACCGGTTAGATGGCAGCGCCCTGAGCTGGTGGATGCAAGTTTGTTCGGTGCGCGATACCCATGACGATCGTGATGTGCCGCTGTTTACCGACGATTTCGTGCTTCTTCGTGCTCTCTGACGCAGGTATAATGTAAAGAAATCAAGGAATGACACTTTATATCATTTTTGCTTAAAATCGCTCTGGATCGTCTGAATATTAGCACCTGTGAGACACCATCAGCCGTATCGCCCTGCCGGTGCTAGGATTCCCGGATGTATTCGAGGATCGATACAACTTTGTGCTTTTAGCATTAAATTTTTGCATTCTCTTAGCTTTGTTTGAAAGTTGAAATGTCTGAGAATCGATGCCAAATGTATGCGTCGGACGTAGAGCCAGGGGGAAGTTGCTCCAGCCCTAGGTAACCGCATAATGACAGCAACTTTTAGCGAGGAAGATCCTGCGATCTTCAACCTCTCGTGCTAATCGACGATTCCACAAATTGGCAGTCCTCAAGATTTTGGTATAATGTGCTTTCATTGCACTAGCTTGCATCCGATCGCAGTACTTTTTTTTAATTGTAAAGCTGCCGTTTGTTTATGTGACGGGCAGGCGAACTGTTACAAAACTTTCGAACCAGTCATTCGGAAGAAAGAACATTACTAACGCTCATAAAACAGTTCATTTATCCTTTTGGCACTCAAAGCACAGTTAGCAAGTCTTCGCGTTTTTTATTGATCAGTGCACAAAATGTTGCATCCGATGTCTCTTAGAGATCAGTGTTAGTGTGCTCGTTACCTTGCCGATCGGTATCAATAGTCCATAGCAACCTCCATGTGTATGATCAGACTTCTTTTAGATGGTTGTCTAATCCATTATTCTAACATCTAGAATCTTTAAAAAATAATGCAGCCCCACTCTTTAGATGTCCAGAGATAGCACCACACATATCATCGATTCGTCAAATGTAATGCAACTCGGAAATAGAAGATTAACTGCACATTTTTATCTTTCGTTGGATTTATTCCAGCAATAATGTTTTTCTTTAAGAGCGCATTGTATTAGTCGGTCAATTTTTTACTTTTTTTTAATTACGTGAACAAGACGACTCGTATTTGTGTTCATCCCTTGTCCAAAGAGTAGTCTTGTTGCACACTGTAGAATACCATTCCTTTCACTCTCTTCAATATACTTTTTTTTCAAAAGTGTGCGTCGCCAATACTTCGTTTCACGGTAACTAGGTAAGGCGCAACCGCCACAGCCCCTTCAAGCCAATCAGAAAGACGGAGTGAAAGTATGCGACAAATTTCTGCAGAAGTAGAGCACTCTGATGATGTGTTGTCACATGCCCCTCTCCAACGTGCATATTGGCTCACTGGAAATGTAGCCTTCGCCGTTTGGCAAATTGTGATTAAATGAATTACAGTAGCTACTATGCTAATTAACCAAGGCCTTCATACTTTGAGCATTTGTTTGACAAGGATGTTATGTCAGCAAGCACTGTGAACTCGGCGTAGCGCTGATTGGACTCGAATGCTGCATTAGCGTCGACGTGAACTGGGGCCCATTCACGTGGTTTACGCCGAAAAAAAACTGGTGATAGTGAATGTTGCTTCATGGGGTTTTGCAAAAGGTCTATTGTGTTATACGTATATGACATGTCCTGCTATATGACAATGCATCAACACATGCTATTAAACTAGATGCTCAGAGGTGTGTTCGTCTTGGTAATTAACAAGTTCCAGCAATAATTATTTCTTACAAGTGTAATAATTTTCAATAGCTGGGCCCGTTTTGTGCCCATTAATGTCAGTGTGCTACGATGGCATTATAATGTGTGAATAGTTTTAAATATCCTCTCTGCAATACCTACAGGGGTCCTTGAAGTGAATAAGTGACTGAGTAACATTTTCACACCACTGGAGTTTTTTTACGGATGCGCAACATGTTCAGGAGAAGTGGAACGAGAGCAACCCATTGCAACCAGTCTGCGAGTCTCGTTTGTCCCATTTATTAATAATGGGGTGTCAGAGATGCGAGTGTCCTCAAAAGCTCCACCGCATGCAGTGAACACAATTCTTGGTGTGTAGATTCTAAAGGCGTAAAAGACTAAAGTGTGAATAATATGCATACTTGGCTAGAATATCAAATATATTTATTTCCACTTGATTACGTAATTATTCATTTTTATCAAACGGTTCCTTAGCGAGTTCTTTCTGTGACAGTCTCGTGTCAGGCATTCAGCCGTAGTACCTGTGCTCCTTGTTGTCGGATGACGCTCCTGGCACGTCGGTGTTAAGTTTGGTCGAGTGGCAACTTTGACTGACTGACGCCATCTTGTGATCATACGTCATATGCCGCCACTGACAGCTGATGCACTGAATCTGCAGGGCTGGCTTCTAATACACATATTCCCCTGTCAGTTTTCT